GCCATCTATTGACACGTTGTAAAAACAGCAACTTAAGATGAATACGTAACACACAGAGTATCTTAAAGGTGGCAGGATGGTTAAAATGTGTTGGACAGAAAAATAAAGATCTATGACAAATGAAAAAAGAAATTACTTGCGAAAATGACCAGTCCCCTCCAAAAGAGATCTATTTACAGATCATTGAGAAGAGGCATTTGGAGGGAGCTCGACACTTTGAGTTCTGTCATTTGTCTTGTTAAATACAAGGTTATTAGTCTCCTGCACTGCTGAAACTGCCATGCTAAGATCAAAACAGGCTTCCTGTGAGTTTTCTGTATACTCAGTACGCTTCTGAGGCTTTTATCTCTAGTGTTTTATCACTATCTCTCATGTGGTGATTCAGAAGAGAACAGCCCCTTATCTTTCAACTTCCTTGTTGACTGCTGAAGTCCTTTCTGCAAGCTGACAAAACTCCCTAGATGCGTCAAAAGCGGAAATTACCAGAAAAACAGATACAGAACACAACAAAGAAGAAGAAAGCTGCACAATTCTTCCTGCCAGCAATGATTTTACAAAAATACAATGGGCTAAAGATTTAACTGTAGAAAAGGGCATAAATGCTTCTTCTGTCATGAATAAACCTGGCTTCTCTTAAAATACTAAACACTTTATCAACTAGTTCAGATTATAGTGACATGCTGCAGGGTATGTGAATGTAATGGTCGAGGGCTATGCATGAGGTATAAAAGCCGGTCAGTTAACTAACACACGAGATAGTTACCATCACTGAAGATAAATCGATGCATCCATTATTAGTATCCAGGGTCGGACCCAAGCATAGGAAAGCTGCCTAGGGCACGATCAGCACAAGGAATTATCGTGCATTTTAACCTATGCTTATTTGTACTTTTGCGGTATAAAGGTTAAAATGCGCGGTAATTGCTTGTCATATCGGCACAAATGCACATGAAATACATGCGTATTTGCGCTGTTACATTAATCGATTGCCGCACGTATCGCTTTCAAAGGTCAATGCATACTTGCGTACCAGTGATGTCAATCTTTGTTTATAAGAATAATTATACAAAATGAAAAAAATATAAAATTATGTAGCCTACAGTGGTGCCTGCGGTTCATGAACACAATCCGTTCCAGGAAAGTGGTCATGAACCAATTTTTACGCGAATCAAGGCAATTTTCCCCATAAGAATGCATTGAAATTCAATTAATTCGTTCACAAGACTACTAAATATTTTTTGTTAATTAATTTTATGGTTTATATGGTAAAAACTTTAAAGAAAAACACAATATAGTGTGGCGACAGGTGGACCGAGGCATCATGGGAGCAGAGATCGAGAGACATGGAGACTTGCTTGCCGGGGAAATCACGCTCTTTATTAACAGTCCTTAACCCTTGTATTGTTGTTGTTGTTGTTGTTTATGTTAATGGTTGCATTTCCCCATTGTCGCGCGTGTGTTTGCACATGTCTTGTGTGTACCCGGGTCCTGTTTCAGGAAGCAGGATTTCTTGCTTAGCTGGATAAGTTGTCAGATTTAAGGTAGTCTGGGCTAAATGAACTTTATCTTTGTTCACTTATATTTACCCCAGACAAGTTATCCAGCTAAGCAAGAAACCCTGCTTTGTGGAACTGGCCCCCGGTCCGATCCTTGCGTGTATTTAGCATATGTAAATCTTCCACTGTGTGTGCATTTTGCAGTTCGGCGTCTGACAACCTTGTGTTCCCCGTCTGTGTATTTGGGTTCGGTGTTCGTTGGTTGCCTGTTGTGGTCCTTCTATTTACAATTGCACGCGGGGCATGCTGGGACATGCGCCCCGCCGGTATTACACTAGTATAAAGAAAAGGAATCTGTTCGTCAACCAAATACTGTACGTGAACCAATGCATTTTTTTCCACAAAATTTTTGGTCGTGAACCAAATTGTCTGTAGACCACACAGCATTTGTGAACCATAGGCACCACTGTACTTCAAATTAAAATGTTCATGTGCCAGCAGAAACATGGCCGGCTCTAGCTATAGACGCAATAGCTGAGGCCCCCTGATTACCTGCATTGCAGAGGTAGTTATATGATCATCAATTTCCTTCATAGGGGGGGTCTCCCCAGTAAAGCTTTGCCTAAGGCCCCTGAAAGGGTACATCCGACCTTGGTAATATTTATATGTCATTGTGCAGGTCGATGGACAACAGGGAGGGGAACGCCTTTGGCACAATGGGTGACAAAAGACATGCTTAGGAAGAGGATCCCCAGCAGGCTGAGGGTCTGCCTCTGCAGAGGGCAAAAACAAAGCAGGAATGGAATTCAGGGGAGGAAACACACGACGCCAGCAGGTGGAAAACATCTTGTAACAATTATGGGGAGATTAGCTCATTCTGAAAGAATTTTAAAAAATAATTACAATTGCTTGAGGTTAATAATGAATTGGCTATGTTCTCTATGTCTTCGAATGATACAAAGCATGTTGAAAAACAAGGAACTAAAACAAAAGCGATGGACAAAAATACAAAAGACTGAGCGTTTATATGACAGGTCACCTGCACCATCCTAGAGAGTCCCCTGCTGTTCCAGCACATTCTACTGAAAATACAGGAGAATACATGGTGTGCACCATAAGCTGGGGGCCTACTGACCCTCTGTCTGCCAGTGCAAGAGATGTCACAATCAGACTTAAATGAAGATGGATTTTAAGCAACTGAGGACCCAGAAAAACCAAAACCTTTGGATGGTAAGGACATTACAGTAAACAGACTTGGTATGGTGCTCAAAGATTTGGATAAAATCAACCATCTTTTACAGCAAAAAAATATATAGATTCAACTTGCTAGGAAACACAAGAAAGGAGCTTTATAGACATAAATTACCAATCAAAGCCTATTTTGACTTTGTCTTGGATGTAGGTGGTGGTCGGAGTGGTGGCTCTGAGGCTAGGGATCTGTGCCAGCAATCGGAAGTTTGGAATCCTGTGAATGCCAGGAGTGATCCTACTCTGATGGGCACTTGAGGAAGGCCCTTACCCTGCAATTGCTTCATCCTGGTTATGACATTAATCTGCATCCAGCCCTGCAAGGAGGTCCCCCAACTTACAGGGACATTTTGGGGGTTGGTAGCAGGATTGGCACTCTAGCCACTGGCAAAAACTCACACTGTTCCATTCGGACTAGTGTGGTGCTGAGGTATCACCCGCTCCACTCGGATTCTCATCCCTGAGGTGGTTGTTGTGTGGTGGGTGTGGCAACGCGCTGTAATCAGTGTGTGCTCCTAAGTTAGCACCCTCTCAGAAGATGGTGCCCTAGGTAGGCTCCTCATGACTGGACATGGTGGACAATGATCTACTTTGAGCTTACAAGTACAGTACAGGGAACTTTAGTAAAAACTGAACTCAAAAGAACAGAAAAGAATAGGGACCTCAAGGGTTCGAAACTTTTTCGAATTACATAATTACTAATTATGTGCAAATTAATTAGTCAATTTTTTAAAATTGATTCACAGCCTAATATAAATGAATAGTTATCATGCATTATTCTGACTTAAGGAAATGTGGCATCACAAGTGCAGCCTTCATTCTGCTGACTCACACAGACCAACACAGAGAACCAGCTCATTGATAGACTTTGGCTTTGACCATGACCAAAGTTTGCACCTGCTTTTAGCAAGCAAGTCCACTCTTTCTATTGTATAAAATGCTAGCGGTTTCTTGTTCCTCTCCTCTGTTGTCTTCTGACTATCCTTCAGTATTCCCTTTCCCCATTTCATGTATTATTCTTTTAGGCAACTCTACTGTGAAAGTGAAAATAATTAGAAGTCTTATTTCATATTTATGAATTCCTTAAATGATTGCTGGCAAATATTAATTGCACTTCCTGGGTGGTATGTTTTTATCGACATAAATATACTTGACCTCACTTATCTAACATTTAATCAAAAGATGGTTGTATTCCCTGGACAGTAAACAATTTATTTCCCACAAATCCCCATAGGCAACATTGACTATCAAAGTTTAATACTCATCTAACACATAAAAAATGTGTCCGTGGTAAGTGATTGCAATTTTCTTTTCCAAACATAAACATGTTTTCAGAATGTCCCTGACCACTGTGGGTGAATGTGTGTGGTCTGCCTTCACTTACTCGTTCTCTCTCGTTCTCTCTCTCTCTCTCTCTCATACACACCAGATCCCCAAAGATGAGGTCACACTTCTAATCACAATTCTGTTTGTTCTTGTCATAATGCAGATGTTCTTTATTATTTCTCTGAGATTGAACTGCAGTAGCTTCCTTCATCTCTTGTCCTTCACGCTATTGTCCATCACAAATATGTATCTCTCTGGAAGTCTTACAGCCCAGACAGGGTTAAAACAGTAACCTATGCTATATGATTTGAATAAAACTACCCTTTAAGCAAATGAATGATGCAAATCAAGACGGAAAAAGAAAATAACTACATGTGAATTATTGCTTTGATACTCGACCTTCACTTGGTACGGTGTTAAGGTTTATGGTTAAAACCTTATTTCCATTAAAGTGAAAGAATCACTTTTTCCCTTTACCGTATTTCTCTTTTGGTGTACAACATATAGTCCTCTTAACGTATATAATTATTATATTTACATAGAATGAATAGCCAAGATATCAATTGTTTCGCAATTTATCACATTTAATGTTATTTCGCACAGTGCAACTTACCAGACTTTCTGTTCCCCATCCGTCGTACAGATCTTAAAATTTAGTTATCAGTTGCCAGTTTTAAATTGGTGAAAGACACTTGTATAAACAATGTTCGCTTTTCCCATACTTTCATATCACACATCCAAGCAATTATTTCGATGCGAATATAATCACTAGCCATGTGTCAGTTATTAGATGTACTGCCATCTGTCTCGACTGCACCTTCTAGACAACCGTAGCTTTGAAAATACAGAGCGCGTTTTCCGCGTAAATGCTGAATAAGAAAAGTAGTGAGACCCCGCGACTTATCGGATTATCAGAAAAACAGACATTACCTTTGAAAAATGCCGTTCCACAACAGAAAAGTTCTGCCAGAGCTACACAGGGTTCTGCCCTCCGAGTATCCGATCGCGATGTGTGCAAGGACTGCTCAATGGGCGTGTGCTCCGCGGTACATTGCGAAACCGGTGCACCACCGCGCTAGTATGACCACTGAAGTTCATTAAGTCTTATTTTAATATACGCGTTTGCTTCTGTGGTCTGGTCCTAAGGGAAGTTCGGCTCCCCTGAAAGCCTCCCCTCAGACTTTTAAGGGGAGCAATAAAAGTTGTGTTATACAGTAGGTTATAATTTTATTTTCCGTACATTAAGGATCCTGAAATAAAAATGACAAATATGACAATGTTGTGTGTTTATTCGCTAATTACATTCCATTTTCCGAACATTCGTCTCCATCTAATCAATATAATTCTGTGTCTATTTCTGCTGTGGCTATGCACGTAGCGGGGCTGCATCCCTTTTTACATCGCCACTGAAATCCTCATCATTGAGTGGGTGCGGTATTTGAATGAACGTTGTTTAGAAAATAGTGCTTATATTTGTTATGTTGTTATTGTGCCTATATGAAATGTTACTGGCGGTATTAACTGCCTGCAGTAGTAACCCTGTTATTGACAGCGATGTCATGCACATAGGTGTGGAGAAATTTGTTGGTACCCTTCCACAAAAGGAAAACAGTGTTACCATCTCTGAAAACTTGAAACTGACAAAAGTTTAATGGCATCCCTTATTGTTTATTCCATATTTAACACAAATCAGACTTTGCTTTTGATTTATTCAACTGAATCAAATGGCGGACAAAAAAAACACACATGGTACCCTTAATATTTTGTGGCACCACCGTTCGCAGCAATCACTGCAAAGGGATCTATGTACTTCACAATGAGATGTCTGCACTTGCCAACAGGTAGTTTCGACCACTCTTCAAAATGTGACAGATGGTATGATCCAGAAAGTGACATACCTTGACCTTGGAGCTCAGCTAGAATGGTTTGATGGTTTCCTTGGCTCTTTTTCTACCATCCGCACTATCCTTCTGATCAACCTGGGGTTGCATTTCCTCTTGTGTCCATGTCCTGGGAGGTTGGCTACAGTCCCATGAACCTCATGCTTTTTAATACTATTGGCAACTCTGGTCACAGGAACATGAAGCTGCTTGGAGATGGTCTTATAGCCTTTACTTTTACCATGGTTAACTATAATCTTCTTTCTGAGCTTCTCAGACAGCACTCTCCTTTGTTTTCTCTGGTCCATGTTCAGTGTGATGCACACAATGATACCAAACAACACAGTAGCATGTTCTTTCCCTTTAAATATAGGCTGAATGGCTGATGAAAAGTTTGAAGGCACCTGTGATACTAATTATGGTTAAACACTTAGTTTGAAACATGACTATAATGCAAGGATAAATAGTTTCTTTAGGGACACCAACAAAAATGTCCATGCTATTTTAGCACATCTTTGTAAAATGAACAACAAATAATTTCTTTTCACAATTTTATTGGCTTACTCTATCACATACTAAAGGCATGCAGGTGTACATTGGACAATTGCTTTTAATTGAATCACTTTTCAGGAGAAATGAAGCATTATTTCAATCAACTGTAAGGTTACCTGTCATGGATTGCACTGGGGCACCCTTATCGTCATCTCAGCCACACTGCTCCAAAACAGGAAGAAAGGTGCCGCATGAACTGCTGCAACTCCGCTAAGGTAATCGGTTACTTTTGGACTATGCTATCCAGTTCAGAACACTGGCGATGTCTTGTGGCTGGGGAGGAACCACACAGTTAGACACTCTTTAGCACTTTTTATCTCCCCGATTCACTGGAGGATTTAATAGATCTGGCTCTCTGCATTGACAGTCGGCTCTCCCAGCGAAAGAGAGAGCATTGGGGAAAGGACCGGGTTGTTCTGTCCGTCGATCCAGTTGTTAACCTCAGAAAGCTTGCGCCGGAGCCAGTGCAGATCGATAGGACTCGTTTATCGCCTGCCGAGCAGAGGTGAATGTTCCCCCGAGCATGCCTGTATTGTGGAAGGATGGGGAATTTCATTGCGTCATGCCCAATAAAAGGGTGCGCCCCAACAGTAAGGAAGAGGGTACTGGTGGGCGTGGTTTCAGCTCTGCTCTCTTCCCCACAAAGAACACTCCTGCCTGCTGTTGTATCTTAGGGGTTACATCAGCAGTCTCTAGCAGCCCTCATTGATTCAGGGGCTGAGGACTGTTTCATAGATGCCACCCTGGTCAAGCAATGGGAGATACCCACCGCACCAGTTCAGGTTCCCTTGGTGGCTCAATCTCTCACGGGAAGAAGAATGGCAATGGTGACCTACTCTACCATACCAGTGAGTCTCCATTTTTCTGGAAATGACATGGATAATATAACCCTGTTAATAATTGATTCCCCCCAGGCCCCACTGGTATTGGGTCACCCATGACTCCTCAGACACAATCCTCATATTGATTGGGGAAAGGGCCTTGTTACTGCCTGGGCCCTGTCATTCCATTCTCACTGCCTGTACTCTGTCCTGTCGCCAGTGGTCCCTTCCTTCCCTGAAGAGACTCCTGATCTCTGTAAAGTACCGGCTGAATATCTGGACCTACAGGGGGTATTCAGTAAGTCCTGGGCATTGTCCCTTCTGCCTCACCGCCCATATGACTGTGTCATTGACCTGTTCCCGGGTACCAATCCACCTAGGTGATGCCTTGACTCACTCTCTGCACCAGAAAGGACTACCATGGAGGAATATATAGGGCAGGCATTAGCGGCTGGTATTATATGGCCATCCTCGTTGCCTGTGGGAGTCGGGTTCTTTTTTGTTGAGAAAAAGGATGGCTCACTTCGCCCTTGTATAGACTACAGAGGCTAAAAATGAAATCACCATCAAGAACTGTTACCCCCTGCCATTGCTATCATCTGTCATGGACTAATTACAGGGTGTGTGGATCTTCACAAAGCTGGACCTAAGAAAAACCTATCACCTAATCAGGATCCGGGAAGGTGACGAGTGGAAGACCGCATTCAACACGCCCACTGGTCATTATGAGTATCTTGTAATGCCTTTTGGTCTTACCAATGCCCCATCTGTCTTTCAAAACCTTGTCGATGAGGTCCTGCGGGACATGCTTAACCAGTTTGTTTTTGTTTACTAGACGATATCTTAATTTATTCACAGAACAAAGAGGACCTTGTGCAGCATGTCTGCGAGGTTCTTCAGAGACTTTTAGTTAATAGCCTGTATGTCATAGCTGAGAAGTGCTAGTTCCACCGATGCTCCATATCCATTTTAGGGTTTGTCCTCGCAGAAGGCACAGTCCAAATGGACCCTGCCAAATTGAAGGCAGTCATCCAGTGGCCGCAACCTCGCACGCGGAAGGATCTGCAACGGTTTCTGGGGTTTTCCAACTTCTGTTGATGTTTTATCAGGGAGTACAGTATGGTCGCTGGCCCACTAACTGCACTCACCTCTTCCAAGGTTCCATTTCATTGGACTCCTGAAGCCCAAGATGCTTTCTTCAACCTGCACGGTCGTTTCATCTCTGCGCCTATTTTACAGTTACCAGACCCCTCAAGGCAGTTTATTGTTGAGGTCGAAGCCTTTGGTATGGGAGTAGGGGCCATTTTATCTCAACGATCGGCAGAGGACGACAAGATTCACCGCTGTGCTTTCTTGCCCCGTAAACTGACGTCAAATGAAAGGAATTATGATGTAGGGAATCACAGGCTACTAGCCGTAAAGCTGGCCTTGGAGGAGTGGAAGCACTGGTTGGAGGGAACAACAAACCATTTCTGGTCTTAACAGATCATAAGAACCTTGAATATTTACAGTCTGCTAAACGCCTTAATGCCCACCAAGCTAGGTGGTTGCTATTTTTTGCCAGCTTCAATTTCTTGTTTTCTCTTAGGCCCGGAGTGAAGAACCATAAACCTGATGCGCTGTCACGGCAGTTTGGGGGAGATGACCCCACGGATTACCATAGCCCCATTCTGCCACCCAGCTGCTTTGTTGGGGCTGTATCCTGGGGGATTGAGGAAGCGATCCAGGTGGTACTGCACTTCTTACGTCTTCTTGCAGGGGGCCCCCCAAATAACTCTACATCCCAAAGTTTCTGCGTACTCGAACACCCCAGTGGGGGCACTCTTCCCTCCTAGCATGCCACCCAGGGGTCCGAGGAACTACGGCCCTCTTAAAAGCAATGCTTCTGGTGGCCATGTACGCTTCAGGATGTTCAGAGCTATATCACAGCTTGCCCAGTCTACGCACGTAACAAGACCCCGTCCCAGCCCCCAGCTGGTCTATTGCGCCCTCTACCCATTCTTCGCAGGCCCTGGTCACATATGGCTTTAGATTTTGTGACTGGACTTCCATTGTCCAACAGGAACATGGGGGTCCATACTGTTGTCGATCAATTTTCCAAGGCAGTCCATTTAATTCCTATTCCTAAGCTCCCCTTGACTAAGGAAACTGCCCAGCTGTTAGTTGATCATGTTTTTAAGCTGCACGGTCTGCCAACTGGCATTGTCTCTGATAGGGGTCTCTGATATTGTGTCCCATTTTCGGCAGTTCTGCAAACTTCTCAGCGCCACTACAAGCTTGTCCTCGGGATTTCATCCCCAGTCCAATGGTCAGACTGAGCCTGCTAATCATGACCTAGAGCGCATGTTGCATTGACTGGCTTCCCACTCCCCCAGTACATGGTGTACTTTTCTGTATAGGGCAGAATTTGCACACAATTCTGCTGCAGGTCTTTCCCCTTCCAGTGCTGCCTGGGATATCAACCCCCACTATTTCCAGCCCTAGAAGGAGAGGTCACAGTTCTGGCAGTGCATCATTTACTGCAACACTGTCGCCGCACCTGGGGTCATGCACGTTCTTCGTTGTTACAGACCAGGGCCCGGATTGTACATTATGCTAACAGGCGTCGCTCTCGAGCTCCTGTCTACCGAGTGGGTCAGAAGGTCTGGCTTAGCGCTTGATATTTGCTGCTGCATGGCCAATCATGCAAGTTAGCTCCTCGTTTTGTTGGACCATTTACTGTATCCAAGGTTGTTAATCCCTCTGTCTTGTGCCTCCAGCTGCGGTGATCCATGCGGCGCGTCCACCCGGCTTTCCACATGTCTCTACTTCGGCCTCATGCGACCAGTCCTCTGGCTTCTCCTGTTCTGCCCCTACCCCCTCCCCGGTTGGTGGATGGGGGTGAAGCATTTGCTGTCCGTCGGCTGTTGGATGTCCGTCGCAGGGGGCGTGGCCTCCAGTATCTGGTGGACTGGGAGGGTTACGGCCCTAAAGAGTGTTCCTGGGTGCCAGCCTGTTTTGTTCTTGATCTATCGTTGGTCTCTAATCTCCAACATTATCGCCCGGATCTCTGGCCTCATCCACCAGGAGGCGGTACTGTCATGGATCGCCCCAGGGCACCCTTATCGTCATCCCAGCCATGCCCCCTCAGGGATGCCGATCGATTGGGCTTCCCTGAAGTGATGAGCCCTTTCGCCCCGTTTTCTGGTTTTGCCAGTTGCTCCAGTTCAATACATACCTATCTCAGCTATTTCAAGTTCTCTCCAGATCAGATCTCTATTTATGGTGACACGGTTTGTTGATCTATGCGAGATCTTCATGGTGTGCCCTGGGTTCGCGCAATTTTCCCTGTGTCTGGTTCCCTGTGTTTCGACCACTGTTTCACCTACTAGAGTCCGTGTTTCTGCCCATCCCTCTCAGTCCCAACGCCGATCGCTGACCCTTGCCTGGAACACCGACCTCGACTTTCGCCTCAACCCTCCTGGAACCGACGCCGATCACCCGACCCCGACATCTGCCCCCTGGTTACCTTTACCCGAAGCTGATCTTCTGATCCCCCTCACAACAGTACCAACAAATTTGCCCACGTCTGTATATGTACAGTAGTATGTAGAAGTTTGGGCACCCCTCGATAAATAACATATTTTGGTCATTTTTTAATGGAAAAGATGTAAACACAGTCTCTGTAGGAAATGGATAAAAATGCGCAATATTTACACCAAACATTGATGCATAGTTACTTTTTATGTCATAAATTGAACAAAGATAAAAAATAAAAACATTATTGTGGCACTCTGCAAAAGTTTGGGTACCCTACATAATCAGTACTTAGTAACACCTCCTCTGGCAGATATCACAGCTTGCAAACACTTTTTATAGCCAGCTAAAAGTCTTTCAATTCTCGTACTTGGGATTTTCTCCCATTCTTCCATTCTTCTAGTTCTGTAATATTCTTTGGTCGTCTTGCATGCACAGCTCTTTTAAGGTCTACCCACAAATTTTCAATGATGTTTAAATCAGGGGACTGTGATGGCCATTCCAAGACCTTCAGCTTGTGTCTCTTGAGGTAGTCCATGGTGGATTTCGAGGTATTTTTAGGGTCATTGTCCTGTTGTAGAAGCCATCCTCTTTTCAGCTTCAGCTTTTTTACAGATGGTGTGATGTTTGCTTCCAGATGTTTGCTGGTATTTAGTGGAATCCATTCTTCCCTCCACCCGTGCAATGTTTCCTGTGCCACTGGCTGCAACACAACCCCAAAGCATGATAGATCCACCTCCATGCTTGATAGTTGGCAAGGTGTTGTTTTCATGAAATGTTGCTCCTTTTTTTCTCCAAACATGCCATTGCTGATTGTGGCCAAAGAGTTCTATTTTAACTTAATCAGTCCACAGCACTTGTTTCCAAAACGCATCAGGCTTCTGTAGATGTTCTGTTGCATACTTCTGACGTTGGATTTTATGATGGGGATGCAGATAAGGTTTTCTTCTGCTGACTCTTTCATGAAGGTCTTGTGGAACAGTGCACCACCACTCCTGAGTCTGCTAAATGTTCCTGCAGTTTTTTTGCAGTCAAATGGAGATTTTGATTTTTCTTTCTGACCAGCATGTGAGCAGTTCTCTCCAAGAGTTGTCTTGGTCATCTTGACCTCCACAGTTTCCCTGAACTGCCATCTCTTAATTACACTACTCACTGTGGAAACTGCAAGCTGACAACGTTTTGCTGTCTTCTTGTAGCCTTCTCCTCCATTGTGGGCATCAATAACTTTCATTTTCAGAGTCTTACACAGCTGCTTAGAGAAACCTATGGTTGTTGAGTGTCCACAAGTGTGTGCACAAGGTTTGAAGAGTCAGTGTATTTGTAAAGCTTTGAGATTGGCACGAGCTGACATTTACTAATGACAGCTGTTGTCATGCATCAGATCTAATGAGATAGATTAAGGTCTGAAACCTTGTAAAAAGAATCTGACACTTTGGAACTCTTAGGGTGCCCAAACTTTTGCAGAGTGCCATAATAATGTTTTTATCTTTGTTCAATTTATGACATAAAAAGTAACTATGCATCAATGTTTGGTGAAAATACTGTGTATTTTTTCCATTTCCTACAGAGACTGTGTTTACATCTTTTCCATAAAAAATGACCAAAATATGTTATTTATCGAGGGGTGCCCAAACTTTTGCATACTACTGTATGCGCGTGTATGTGACTTGGGAAGTGGTGGTGCATCCAGGCAAATAGGGCTTCCCCGGAAGCGCGAACCCTGCATGGAGGGGTGACTGTCGTTAAGAACAGGTGTTTTGGAATATCACCCAACATCCTTTCAATCCATCCATCCATCCATTAACTTCCGCTTATCCGAGGTCGGGTCGCGGGGGCAGTAGCCTCAGCAGGGAAACCCAGACTTCCCTCTCCCCAGCCACTTCCTCCAGCTCCTCTGGGGGAATCCCGAGGCGTTCCCAGGCCAGCCGAGAGACATAGTCCCTCCAGCGTGTCCTGGGTCTTCCCCGGGGCCTCCTCCCAGTGGGACATGCCCGGAACACCTCACCAGGGAGGCGTCCAGGAGGCATCCTAAGCAGATGCCCGAGCCACCTCATCTGGCTCCTCTCAATGCGGAGGAGCAGCGACTCTACTCTGAGTCTCTCCCGAATGACTGAGCTCCTCACCCTATCTCTAAGGGAGAGCTCAGCCACCCTGCGGAGAAAGCTCATTTCGGCCGCTTGCACTCGCGATCTCGTTCTTTCGGTCACTACCCACAGCTCATGACCATAGGTGAGGGTAGGAACGTAGATCGACTGGTAAATCGAGAGCTTTGCCTTTTGGCTCAGCTCCTTCTTCACCACGACAGACCGATGCAGCGCCCGCATCACTGCTGACGCCGCACCGATCCGCCTGTCGATCTCCCGCTCCATCCTTCCCTCACTCGTGAACAAGACCCCGAGATACTTAAACTCCTCCACTTGGGGAAGGACCTCCTCCCTGACCCGGAGAGAGCACTCCACCCAAAAAAATATAAACCTAAATTGCACAAGAACAGGTGGTGGAATTTTTGTATAATCATACAGACTGTGTGAGATTTGTGTGTGTGTGTGTGTGTGCGTACGTGTGTGTGTGTTTGTGTGTGTGAGCGGGTATACCTTACCATATGAGGACACAATGTCCCCACAATGTGATGAATACCTGTTTTTTCCCCTTAAGGGGACCAGTTTCCTGTGTGTACCCTGTGAAGGGTTGGCACCTCATCCTTGCTTATTCCCTATTTTGCACCCATAGTTTCCAGGATAGGCTCCAGACCCCCGCTATCCAACACAGGACAAGTGGGTATAGAAAATGGATGGATGGATGGATATGCAGACATGATTCTTTTGTAATACTTTGACACTAAATACAAAGCAGATAAAGACCACTGACACAGATCCTAAGTAAGTAGGTGAACTTTATTGTCATTCACACCGTGCAACAGTACAACGGATGCACAGCTGAATGAAATTGTGTATCTCCAGGCTCAATGTGCCGACATAAAAGGACAAGAGCACTTAGACAACATACGGAGATTACAAGAAGCTTCTACTTTAAGTAAGACTGTGTAAGACAGCATAAGTGTTGTGTCGGCGTGTGAGGCGAGCGGGGAAGCAGGCAAGAGAGCTGGGAATACTCAAAAACGGGGTTTATTCTGGACAGACAGTAAACGGCAACAAACGATAATGACGGATCTAGGGATACTGACACAGACGCAGACTAAATACACAAGAAAAGCCAGGATTCACAGGAAACAGGTGCACACAATCGGGAAGTAACACGAGGTAACGAGGTGGGCCTGGCACACAGGAGGGGCAAACGAGCAGGTCATGACAATAAGGTAGCACAGGACAGACACTAAATATACAAAACAATATATACAGAAATGTAGGACCAGTCAGTGCTGAATAAGATATAATATAAAATATTGCACATCGTTCCACAGTGATTGCATTATTGCACTACGTACATACAGTATTCAAAGTGATTATATTATTGCACTTTATAAATAAAATGTAAACTTAATACCCGTTGTGGTAATAAAGTGCAAAGTGAGTAAGAGGGAGTCAGGGTTTCACATGAACTTATGTACATTAGAGTTTAGTATTCTGATGGCCTGGGGGAAGAAGCTCTTATTAAATCTGGTTGTTCTGCAGTGCATACTGCAGTAACGTTTACCAGAGGGCTGAGGTTCAAACAGCTCATGTGCCGGGTGTGTGGGATCTTTTATGATCTTAATGGATCTAGTTTGGCTATGTGAGTAGTGTAGTTCTTGAACAGATGGGAGAGATGTGCCGACAATATTCTCTGTTCAAGAACTACACTACTCATGTAGCCTTACAGTATGTATTCCAAAAAAAATTAAAAGTCAAAGTCTAAGAACAGATGAAAAAGAAATACAGATACCAAAGTTTGTTCTAATGCGAATTGGAATTAACATGCAAAAGAAACTATATTATTATCTAAAGCTTACAAATGTCCCAACATTTACAAAATACTGTTCCAGTGAAATAAATTAGAATTAAGTGATCAACACACCACAGCACACAGTGCGCAACAATGAAATGTGACCTCTGCATTTGACCCATATGTGACTTGCGTGACATAGCAGGGGGCAGCTAATTCAGCGCCCGGGGAGCAGTACTTGGGGATGGTACCTTGCTCAGGGTACCTCAGTGGTGACTTGCTGGTGGGGGATTCGAACCTGCAATCTTTCAATTACAAGTGCGCTACCCTAACCATCAAGCCACCACTGCCCATTGAAACTAAGAGTGCTACATGATGCAAAGACCTAATAAATAATGGCCAATTAAATATCATACAGCATGCAGGGCACCAGCTCCCCATTGTATCTTGTTGCTCCTGGTGTGATCTGGTTTGGTTCCCTTAGCAAAGCTAAAATGGTAAATCGCCATGAGCTCTGCATCTGAATCTCGAACTTTGCCAGCATAACATTTTTGGAATTCATTTCAAAGAAAATTCCAGGAAGCTCCCAAAATTTAATAAGGATTCAACAAACGTGCATCAGGAGTGTCACTGATGATCTCCACCCTGAGTCCCATTAGGGAACGGTGAAGCGAATGGCAGCTAAAATCATCGATGAGCTGTCTTTGTAACTGCAGGATGCCAAAGAGAAGCTCTTGGAAGAAAAGCACTAGCATGACGCAAACGGGAGCATTAGCAGTCGGCTTAATGGCTCAGCGCTGAGTGAGTGAGGCTTTAGGCGGCCGTCAGTGGAGTTAGGGCACATTGGCCACTGCGGCACTGGGAGATCGTGGCTGCTCACTCCCCAACGGCCGGAATGAAGCAGCACAGAGGCCAGCGGCACGTTAGCTACCTGAAGGTCACACTGAGACCCACACTGACGAGGGGATGCTCTGCCTTAATGGATTTCTGCTTCCCTCACCACCACTAGCTCAAGCTTGTCTGCCAAAATACAGTAGCAGCAGCTGCAAGGGGTAGGAGACATTTGTGCTGCAACTGAAAGTGGCCAGCAGTGTGGGCACTGGGGCAGCGCTCTCCCATGTCAGGGAGGGAGTAGGGGGAGAGGTCGCCCAGCAAGGCCCAGCACAGCTGTCGTCTTACTCTGGCAGTGTTGCTCAATTTCCGGGCAAACCTGTATGGGACATCATTCATTCATTCATGCTCAGAATAGAAAAGGCTTCACTCACTTCCCTCCTGAATGATTGGTGCGTGGAGTTCGGTAGAAGAAAATAATCCCTACAGTATAATGCTCAAAGTCTGTGGATTATCTTGAATAACCGGGTCATGATTTCTGGTAAGAGACATTGCCGCTGTATTTTTCAAATATATATATATATATATATATAACTACAGAAAGAATGCCATTCACTCTCATTATTTTCCAGGGAAGACAAACGTTTCTATGGTCGATCTCCAAAACTCGGCAACTCTGAAGAGGACAACCTAGATGGATAGATAGCACCAAAGGCCCTCTAAAACATACTTTTTTCAGTTTTGGGCATATTGCCCTATTAAAAAATTACTAATCAAGGGATACTGTGGGTCCTCAGCAGGGTGTAGTGGAACAGCTTGCCCATGGTTTGGTATGTGTCACAGTTTTTTGGGCCACTGTAATGGTATGGTTTTGGTATTTTTATATTTAAGAAGAAAATAAAAACACATAACCGTTTAATTTAACAATGAACTGTGTTTCCATACAACAACTCTCCATTCAGAAAAATAGCAGCATGACGAAGTAGGTCAAGTTTATGTCTCTACTGTATGAAATCAATGAGAGAAAAACATTTAAACTTAAAAGTGCTTCTTAACTTTGATAACTTGTAGGTGTTTTGTCTATACTACTTTAATCAGTGTACCTAGTATGTACTGTCAGGATCGGTCAGGCGAGCAGGGAGTGGAGAATCAGGGTCGGGACTCGAAGATCCAGGAAACGGGATTTATTAGGGCAAACAGGCAGACAGGGCACAAGACGATCGAGATGTTAAAGACGGAACTGGGGATACATACTCTAACGTGGACTTAGATACACAGGACTTAATGAAACAAGAAACAGCTGATAACATCGGGATTTCACATGAGGTTAACGAGGGGGGCGTGGCACACGGATGGATCGTAAGAGCAGGTCATGACATATACAGTACCTGTACAGGCAAAATTAAATTACATTTTGGAAGCAGTTTGGAATATCAAATCTTATCTTTATAAAGAATTTTTTTTTTCTTTATTCAGGTCTATAAGATTCTAACGGGTCTGGATGCTGTTCAGCCAAATGACTATTTCAATATTAGTCTAAATACTAGAACTCGTGCCCATAAGTGGAAATTAGCGGGAGAACATTTTAAAACAAATTTGAGGAAGCACTTCTTTACACAGCGTGTAGTTAGAGTATGGAATAGTCTTCCTGCTAGTGTAGCGGAAGCTAAAACCATGGGTTCCTTTAAATCAGAGCTAGATAAGATTTTAACAACTCTGAGCTATTAGTTAAGTTCTCCCCAAACGAGCTTGATGGGCCGAATGGCCTCCTCTCGTTTGTAAATTTCTTATGTTCTTATGATACAAAAACCAAGTGCAAAATGAGAGAAAGTACAGGGTTGTGGGATTTGATTGCTGTTTTTGGGTTTCAGAGGAGCTGCATAGTCACTAGGGATGAAATTACCAAGCCTTTGTACAAGACAGCCCATAGCATCTAAATTTGCTTTTTTAAAATTTGCACATTCCGAAGCAACAAAGTGCAGCTTTGTGATAAAATCACTGATTGCTCTGATACTGTGACACAAAAACACTGATTTCGGTAAGTGTACTGTAAAGTCAAAATCAAAATCAAAATCAAAATCTGACTATTGTTTCCACAAGCCAACAAGCTGTTGATTAAACTTACAGTAAATAGCATTAAATAAAATATATGCGATTATATAAGGCCGGGGATACAGAGGCCTTTATGTCATAGAGCGTTTGTTGCTCAGTATATTGACAACATAACCCTCAACATAAACTACAGTCACATCTGACAACAGTTTGAGAAGTTCTGAAGAATAGACAATTCTGATGTAAGAGCTTTTTTGAACAAATTTACAACTTGAAAACCAGTAGAAGCTCAGTTAAGAGGGAAATGAATGTGACCCAATGCATGTATTTCTAAGAGTGGCGCCATTTTTCAGACTAACAGTTACACAAGTATTTCATTGTTTTCCTAAACAGTGCAAATAATCTGTTTTGTAGGGTTAGAGAAGGCTTCCTCTGTACACAGTCTCCGCACTCTGTTGAAATTATTTAGCAGTTTTTAAAATAATAATACCATAAAGTTTGTAAAAATCTCTAAAACAAGAATCCCTGCTGGTCCCTACAGTAAGAGGACACAGTAACTTTACACAACCTTATATAGTTAATTTTAATGTCATATGCAGTTAATATGATGAGCAATAGAATATTTTAATACCACCTGCAGACTGTCATGACAACATAAGCAGTAAGTAAAGTAGACAAATACAAAGAAATAAAGTTATATCACAAAAAGAAACAGCAAATGTGAGTGGTGATGATGAATACAATGTGTAACAGGAACACTGGTTATGCAGGGTGACTGGGGTTCTTGATGTTATCTGCCTTTTTGAGGTAGCGTGTGGTGAAAACTGCAATACCCCATCTCCTGACATAAGCACTGCACACGCAAGACAAGGATGCACAAACAAGCACCGTATATCCAATAATATGCAGCTTACATTAGATAAGATGAATGGTAATTTGCATAATGCACCACCATTGGTCCATGGCCAAAACGGTTTTTGTAAATGCTGCAAAAAAATTATAAAAAATGTAAGAAGTACCATTTCAGCGCCAGGGCTGCTAAAATTCATATTCCAACATTTTTGGGATGTGGGTAACAGGACAGGAAATTTCCTTGGAGTGACAATAGAATGTGAACCAACACTTGAGTATATTTACCATCCTGCTATCCATTATAACTAGTCGTTCCGGGAAAAAAAGCACTACGCAAGGATTATATATAAATATATTATCATGCCCAGCAGACCCAGGCTCCAGAGCAGCAAGCAAAAAGCAATGCAGTATCTTCTCACACACGGTTTTTTTATTGATAGTTCTTAAAAAGACTCACACATTAGATCACAGCCACGACAACCTAGTACCATCTTCCTGTCTCTCCACCCACCGCCCACCGTGCTGGCTCTCTTAACCACCCCAAAACAACACGGTGGGTACACTCACACCACGCTATTACTACACCAACATTAAAATCATTAGCACTTCACATGGCATCACATATCGGGAACATGCGACACACGGATCAGGGCACTGTGATTAACAACATCAAATATATACAGGGATATACGCATAAACACACGGCATGCTGGGAAACATACAAATATGCTCCACCATGTGGAAGGCAGCTCACTGGCACTACAGGATAAATCCACTACTCTGGAATCACAGCTTAGTAGGTTATAGAGCTAAACAAAAGGAGTCTAAGTCAGGAGCCTAATTCTAGTCTGTGGTATGATGGATGATATCGTAAATGAGGATTTTATGTGCTAATGGATAAATACTGTGGTGGGGCGAATGTGTGACTCAACAGTGATATCATAGGGCAGTTGGCCTTTATAATTCTCATTTGACTCCCTTACATCAAAATTATAATTATAGCATTAATCAGAGGGCTCATCAAAATCGTAAAATGTATGACAGCATCTTCAGCTACTCAGTAACTGTTTTGATGTGGCTTTTTTGCTTGCTACTTTCACTCGTCTTCTCAGGCAATCTGTTCACCATGTTTATTCCTGCATATTATTTGGATGTCTTTGACTCATTTCAGTGATGTGTCCTGACATGCCGCACTGAGACTGAGAAAACTCAAGCCCTGACTGACCCACTGGTGTCCATTTCCATTCGCAACTGCTTATGCAGCTCCGTAATTGTTTTCGTTGGAGTTTGTTTGATTAGAATCAGATTCAGGCTATTAATGCAGTTTTCTCTCTCTGGGCATTGTAATCTATCCGGTTTTAATGCATCTACTCAGGATCAGACAACGCCCCCACCCCCATTACCAGCTCCCGAAGAGACTTTTAATGGCCTTCATTTTAGGAGAATCTGCTTCTATTTACAGTGACATGTTTGAATTACATTGGACCCCCCCCCCCACCATGCAGTACCCTGTTTCAGGACAACACCCTTTTCTGAACCTTCTCACAAATAAGGAAACAAAATACACTCACCTAAAGGATTATTAGGAACACCATACTAATACGGTGTTTGACCCCCTTTCGCCTTCAGAACTGCCTTAATTCTAC